AAAAAAAAAAAAAAAAAAAAAACACCTGGCATGGTGGTGCAGTGAGCCGAGGTCGTGCCATTGTACTCCAGCATGGGCAACAAAAGTGAAACTCCATCTCAAAAAACAATGTTCAACCTTTGGGAGGCCAAGGTGGGTGGATCACTTGAGGTCAGAAGTTCGAGACAGCCTGGCCAACATGGTGAAAACCCATCTCTACTAAAAATACAAAATTTAGCCAGGTGTGGTACACGCCTGTAATCCCAGCTACTTGGGAGACTGAGGAAAGAGAATCACTTGAATCTGGGAGGTGAAGGTTGCAGTGAGCCAAGAAAAAGAAAATTCACTTGGCTAATTTTTTCAGGAAATACAAATTTCAAAAAATTGACTCGAGTCAAAAAACTAATAAACTGATAATTATAAAAGAATGTCCTAAAGTAGTTTAATCCCCATTATGTGTCACCAGGAACAAAGCATAGAGAAGGATGGAGTACTTCCCAGTTATAAAGTTAGCATAATCCTAACAGCTCTAACCGTGTCAAAAATTTAAATTCACATTGCCTGTGAACCAACTGGTTGTTAGATCTTCAAAATAACTTGCTTTGTTGCATGTAATATGATAGTCACCATAAAACTTCGTAATTGTAAATAATTAGAAATTTGAATATCCATCAGGAAAAGAACAACTAAATTATGCTGCATTCCTCATACAAAATACTATGCAGTGGTAGACATGCAGATCTACATGCATTAATCTACATGGAAAAAGTTGTAAGATACAGGCAGTGAAAAATGGTGCAAAACAATACATATGTGATTTCATTCAATTTTTAAAATGTTTTTCTAATTCTACACTGAATTGTTACCTCGGTCATTGTATAGAGCAAGAAAGAGGGTGTAAAAGGAGACTGTATTTCGTATTTGTATTATTGGATTTTAAAAATGTTAATCCTAAGTAAAAATATAGAAGCACAGAAAAACGTACCATTCCATAAAGCAAAAGGAAATAGTTCTAAAGTGTTTGTGGGCTGGGTGCAGTGACACACCTGTAATCCCAGCACTTTGGGAGGTTGAAATGGGTAGACTGCTTGAGCCTAAGAGTTTGTGACCAGCCTGGCCAATATGGTAAAACCCTGCCCCTACTAAAAATACAAAAATTAGCCGTGCATGGTGGCACGTGCCTGTAATCCCAGCTACTCAGGAGGCTGAGGCAAGAGAATCACTTGAATGTGGGATCGGAGGTTGCAGTGAGCCAAGACTGTACCACTGCACTCCAGCCTGGGCAACACAGCAAGTCTCTGCCTCAAAAAGAGTGAAAGTGAGTGTGGTTCAGAAGAGATTAAGAAGCTAAGAAACGCACACTGGTTTTAACAAGGAGACATTGATAATACTAAGAGTAATTTTAATATAAAAAGGTAAGATACAAAATCAAGACTGCACAGGATTTCAAGGTAAGTGCCTGACTATGGAAGAAGTTTCTTAAGTGAAACAAGGTTCAGAATACATCCTGGTGTGGTCATCTCAGTATTCCCAGGAATTGGGACCATTTGTGAGTGGGAAGCTATGATTTTGGTTAGTAAATAAATATGACCAACCTCAGTTTTGCCGAAGTGGGATGATAAAGCAGGTTATCATAAATCAACATTTTTTATCTTGTTTCAGAGAAGGGAACAGGGCCAACCCCAGGCCAAAAAAAAAAATGAAGTGGGTATTGGTGACAATCTCTACTCCTTTCTGCCATTTTCTCTTACTTTCTAGTCATCCTTGTTCTCCCTTTGGTGCCCACTCCCAAATCCTCACTGGGGTACTTCATGGGTACCTTTTTGACTCTTATTTAGCTTACCCTTCCACACATGCTCAACACAATGCCCATTATCTCTGAGAGCTGACTCCATTTAGGATTAGGAAAAAACTCCCCAGTTCTACAAGAGATCAGATCTTCCTTGAGAGTAGTCTTTAGTTTCCATTTCTGCCTCCAGTCAGCTACATTTTTCCACTTGCAGCATGGTTAGATGCCTCCTTAGATTTTCCTGAATATTTTGTATCAATTTCCACTGGTTACTTAGTAGGTACTAAGTTGTAAGGTCAGTCATAAAAAAAATAACAGAATTTTCTATTTTAGGTTAAGCTGTTAATATGAGAATGTTTTAATTTTTATACATATAATTCCTTATTTGTCTTCCCAAAGCTTTTTATTTTTAGCTGAATTGCAATGAGATTGCTTTCTATTTTCCGAAACATCAAAGTTGGAAGTTTTCAGTGGGAAAATTACACTAAAACCAGGAGGATATCAATTTAATGAAATCTCTAGATTTTAGGAAACATGCTATTTTATTTCTTCTCTCAAACTTCAACTTGTAAGACAGTGTTCATCATCTCTGAGGCTTCCTTTAGCTTTCCTTATTGCACTTTACAGTGTTAGATTACTAATTCTAGCTAACAGTGCTATATATTTTGACTCTTTTTCTATCTTTGGGGATGCTCTTGATCTGATGTTGATTTCTGAATTTACCAGATCTGGCTATTCATTAGAAACAACTGTGGAGCTTCTTAAATACTAGAAGTGCCCCCTGAATGAGAATAAACTAAATGAGACTTTCCAGAGATTAGGAATCTCTTAATTTTGACTAATTCTAAGCCAGCACTGGTAGTGGTGTGTACCTGTAATCTAGTTACCTGAGAAGCTGAGGTGGGAGACTGGCTTGATCCCAGGAGTGAGGCTAATCTGGGTAACATGGTAAGGCCCCATCTCTAAATTTAGTATTAAAATGTTTTAAATTCTTGTAAGTAATTCTAATGCACAGCCAAATATGGGGCAGATCTAAATCACTGCCCTCCATCTGGCTGCCTACCTCAAAGAATTGAACTCAATCCCAACTGTAAATACTAGTGGCCATCTTGGAGAACACTGGCCCACTTCCATTCCAAAGCTAATCCATCTGTGTTTCTGTTTTTTACATACAGTGTCCTGCTAGTTTTTCATATATTTGGTAGAGATGGAGTTTCACCATGTTGCCCAGGCTGTTCTCGAACTAGATTCAAGCAGTCTTAATCCTCCCAAAGTGCTGGAATTACAGGCATGAGCCACTGCCACTGCTCAGCCCCTCCTGTGCTATTGTTGATGCTATCTCCTTACAACCTTAATACTGGTAGTCCAGTCATTTCCAGTGAGCTCCTTTTAACATACTAGTATCTCTCCTGTTTGTCTAACTACAATTTAATCTCTGGAGTTAAACTTCATTTAAAAACTAGCTTTTAATAGTTGTTACCTCTCATCCACACTACCCATTGCACCAGGTGTTGGCACCCATACTCAGCGGTTCCTAGGTCAACAGTATTTTTCAATCTTAGATGTCTTCTTGACTTTTACTGGCTACCTTGTCCCTTGAAAAAAATTTTTTTTCCCCACACATGCCTGTAATCCCAGCACTCTGGGAGGCCAAGGCGGGCAGATCACTTAAGGTCAGGAGTTTGAGACCAGACTGGCCAACATGGGGAAACCTGTCTCTACTCAAAATGTAAAAGCCAGGTGTGGGGGCAGGCACTGGCAATCCCAACTACTCGGGAGGCTGAGACCGGAGAATCACTTTAACCTGGGAGGTGGACGTTGCAGTGAGCCAAGATGGTGCCACTGCAATGATGCAATCTGAGCACTGTCCAACCTGAACAGAGCAAGACTCTCCAAAAAAGAAATTTTTTTCCCATTGCTGGTTTTCTGTTTTATTTCTGACCTTCCTGCCCACCAGTCTTTGTTCCCCCAACCTTGACCCACTTCTCTGTGTGGACACTGTTGATACATTTGTAGTTTTGAATGTCACCTTCCTTTTAGAATGTTCCATACCTTTAAGCATGTG